TCCGAAGAGCCTCCAGGAGTAATACTGGAGATGTGTATTTTCACACATCAGCATGAGGGGGGACAGTCTACCCTCACACTAATCCAGATCACCACATACAGGAACTGGGGTTTGGGGAAACTCAGTCCTCACTATTGCTCCCCAGGATTTCTTAGATAGTCAGGTAAAATAGTAACAAGACCAAATAATTATTCTCTCATTTCCTATCCTAACTGTGGGATTGATTCGAAAATCTGACTTAAGAGTCCTGAGGGTCTGCAGTTCAGGAGCAAAGCCCTCATTAAACATTTAAATGGAATTTCAGTCTGTCATTTATCAGGCCGCGGCAGTAAAGAATTAAGACAAAGGCCTCAACAGAGTCTTAGCCTCACACCTGGCAAACACAACACACCTGAACACTTCAAATCGATCGTGATCTCTTACCTCGGGCTCCTTCTGAAGTTTCCCGTGAAGAACAATCATTTCTCTTGTGCAACTGCACAGAATCGAAAGTGCGACAGCCCGATCCGGATGAGATTTTCCGAACACTAGGCAGGACCTGGCAGAATAACAGTCCTTTTGTTCGCAGCCAGTCAGAAGAGAATTGCTACAGCTGGTTAGAGAAGTGGGCTGCTGCCTCGCGGAAATACACCCATTGGGTTCTTCCCCCTGCCACAATGAATGCTAATGAAGCAACGCAGTAACTTCCTAAAAAATCTCCCTATCGCTGATCCGGAGCGGCAGTCACCTGTAACACGCACAGGACCTTAGCGCAGCGCAGGAGGATGCTGCTCAGAAGGGAAGCTCACATACCGGATAGCCTCCAGGAAGCCAGCCCAGCTCCGCAGCACACCTGCTGGGAGCATGTGCATGTGTAGGCAGGTTCCCTTCTGTTAAGGACTAGACTCAAGAGTGACCCACACGTCAGCGGTCCCGTCAGGGAAACGCCACACTCAGGAGTGGGTCGCCAAGACCAATTCAGATGTACAGTGCTCTCTGAATACAGCAGTCTGGAGCAGCCCCGCCTGTGTGGCACGGGATGTGTTGAAAAGTTATTCTACATCCATAAGCAGCTTTGATATTCTGCTTCTAACAGGTTATGCATCCCCATATGTCCCCAGCCCTGCCTGCATGGCTTCCAAGATGAGCGTCTTCCCTATGGGGTGGCAGTTCCTGCGCAGCTGCGATGACTCTGATCCAAGGAGGGCTCCAAACACTCCAAGCTGATCAGAAGTGCTGACAATTCCTCCCCCCAAAAAAAGCATTTTCAGTGGATGCTGCTGCCATAGTTACTGATCCACACTAGAAACTGATTGAAATGGCTGAACAGACACCTGTCCACCTCTAGTGTTATGCCATTTATACAATGTTCAGTTAAATACTACAAATGGTTTTAGTTCCTTTAACAGGAAGTGCTGTATTCAAGTACTGTAATGAACCCTGTGTCTAGGGCTGAAACACAAACCAGAGTTCAGGTCTACAGTCTTCCTCAAAGCTTAAGGAACACAATCGCAGTGCAAAATATCCTGCGGTTATATCTGGAGAAGAGCAGAGCAGAAAACAACATGGCCTAGAACTTATCATCTCTCTCCACGTGCTGAGAACACTTAGCCTCCATATGCATTCCACACATCTTACAGACCTGCTTAACATTGTTCACCCTGTTCGCTTTTACTACTGCTGCGGAGACGCCTCTTCATCGCGAAGCGAAATGAAACTGCAGAATAAGCTGAGCATGCTGTGTGTCGGGTGTGTGAACTGTGCAATCTACAAGAGCTCTTTCCAGGGGCATGCTGACTCATTTGGAGAGGACGATTACATTGCCCACAATTGTAAAGGACGTGAATCCAGCTCCTGCAGATTGATACCATTAGATTGGAGAAAACCTTCTTTGTGTGTATTGCATGATTCTTGGGTAGATATTTAGTGACAAACTGCAGTGCAAACGCTAACGCTACATTATGTATAAGTCCTTGTTATACAAGTGCGAGTGGGCCGCTGCTCTTCGTTCCGTAATGCATTAGGTCACACGCTGCCTGAAGCGAACTCCGCAAGCAGCTCAGCTAATGACATTCTGTGTGCGTTTTTTTTTTAAACAGAAAATACAAGTTTTGCATTTTGCATCCTTTTTATTTTGTTCATCTCAACCCAATTTAGGCTTATATAACGATCCCAAAGTCCATTTCAAACTGAAATTCACTAACAGGTCGAGCAGTTTCGAACACAAAAGATTTTGAAGGGAACAGGTTTAATCCATGCTGAAAAAATAAGAAAAGACACAAACATGCACCCGAAGAAGGCTCCACAGCCGAAACGTTGTGTTTCTTTTCTTCTGTTTTCAGCAGGGAATAAACCTTTACTTGTTCCTTTGCAGGCAACGCATGCTGATGCAGCTCCCTGCTTGAACTACTTCAGCCTCCTTCTGCTGCGACCCACTATGCCTTCCTATAAATCTTTTTCCAGAACTCTTCGTCATTCCTTCTCCTCCTCTCTGGGGTACTTGCTCTCTTCTCTCACCAAACCAGCATTCTGTCTCTTCACAGCGATCTGTTCCAAGACCAGGCTTTCTAACCATCTCCAAACCTGAAGAAGGCTCCCCAGCTGAAACGTTGCGCTTCTTTTCTTCTCTTTCCAGCATGGAATAACCTTTTACTTGTTCCTTTGCAGCCTAGGCATGCTGACGCAGCTCCCTGCTTGAACTAGATTTTGAAGGGATCTGATACAAGTGCTCAAGAGCCTCTAAGCCACCCCTACAAAGTCAACCCCATGGAGCTCTTCAGAATGAGCCTGAAGCACCAACCAGGGGACACAGCTGGGAACCATGTGGAAGTGCATTTAAAACCAAAAACCGGAGGTGGATCTTTACAGAAAGGGTGGCGGGGGTGTGGAACAACCTGCCCTGCCATCTGGCTGGAAGGAACAGCTGGCTAGAACGCCTCCCCTTGTTTGTAACTGTTCCCTTGCTCTGAAATCTTTCTTCATCCGTTCATCTGAATGCACAGACATCCAGAAGGTCATCACTCGCCTGTCCCACCACCCTCCCCCCCTGGAGAGTCCCTCAGAGGGCTGAGGGAGATGTCTCAACTTGCACATGACCACTTCCGATCCTTTTTAGGCCTGCGCTGCCTAAAGAGGAGCGCCACTGGCACGAGAGTGGGCCTTGTAGACTGCTGCGAGACCTTCAGCAGCTCGTCACACTCATGAAGTAGAATGAAACCCGACCCAGAGCTTCGGATCAGCCACACAGGGAAGATTCTGGATTTTCCCACTTTTTTCTGTCGCTTCCCTTCCACCTCCTAATCCTGACCATTTAGTAATCCCTCCAGCTCCTGCGAGCAGAGTTCTAGCCCCCGTCATTGAAACGCTTGATAAATCGTGAAAAATACTGCTTCACACCGGAGATGCCTAGTACCCAGAGGCTCCAGATTGGCTACTACACTGCGAGAACAGTGAACCCCGAGCCAGCATGGCGAAGCACGTCTCACACAGGATGCCCTGACGGGACTCGAACCCGCACACGTGGGTATGCAACGCAGAAACGCCGAACCAGGAAACAAACTTACAACGTTAACAGAAAGGCGCTGAAATAAC